TTTTTTTTTACTTATAAGAGCATATAAAATCATCTTGTACATAATAGAGAGTATTTTTGTAGAATTTATTTATGCTAACAATATAAGAGGTTTAGGAAATGAATAAGAAAATACTACAAACTAACCTGCCAGAACTTTTGAGGGAAAAAGTGATATCACATATGGGGACTGGGTATGGGTTGTGAACCGAAACCTTTGCCAGCAAGGTAATACCGTTTCGGCCGACATCCTTAACTTCCACGGTCGTGATGGTTGCCTCCGGCTGCTGCTTCATGTTAGCCGCCTTATTTGCTGCGAAACTCTTTGTTTTCTTTGTGAAAGGCATAGTCTTTAGACTACGGCCGAGTTTAGACAAAAACTGTTTGCTTGAACTCATGATGTTTGTATGTGTAATTTATGTAGAATGACTTTTAGTGGGCTATATAGCTTAGGGGCACTTTATTTGAACAACCCCTTGGCATATGGAATCTGCAAGTTGTCCATGTTCTAGGATTTGTTCCTGTTGTGAGCTTCAAGGTTTGGTCTTTTGGCATATAGCATATTTTCTCCTTTTCATTTGGGAAGAATTTGTCTTTTCTTGAATAGACAATTGCATTTTCCATTAAATTACCAAAATGTCTTCTCATTTGGGGAGGAATTTACCATCGGCGATTTTGAGTGATTTTTGTTGGAATATGTTTGAAATTGGTGTTACATCTAACTTGTTTGACTGCAATGATAGCTAAGAGTATTTGGTTGGGTGTATGATAGTGTTTTGTGTCATTTTGTGTCTGTTTGGCACCACGTTTATACAAGTCACAAGATGCATAGGAGGAAAAAGTTATCTTGTATAGAGTCTCTTCTCGTATAGTAGTGATTGATCATTATTTCACTCCTTTTATGCTCGTTCAATTAATAGACTTGGTCTGAGAGCTCTTTCAGACGAGCCGTAGGAGAAGTATCCAATCAAATGGTGCTTGTCCAAAGAAACTTGAAACTATCAACTGAATGAGATCGATTGAACAAGTAGTTAGATGATGAAGTTAACACAATTTATGATGACCAAGCTCCGATTTTTCAAACACTCTAGACTAATTGACTTGGCACATCTTATACTCAAAATTATCAACCGTATAGAAATCCGTAAAACCAAACCATAAGGACAAAAGATCCTTTATTAATTACAATAAGATGTATTATTTTGCCTTCTCTTCTATTCGAAGGAATATATAGTACAACAAAGATTATAAAACATTTCCAAGCATAAAAATATGCATCAAATTTCATAAAACCAACACGAGAAATTCATAAAAGCATATTAATAATTTCGCACGACCATAGGTTTACACGTCTTTTGACCTAAACATATCGGCGAAAGTTGGGAGTTTCATCTCACCCTTTTGAGAAAGAGGAATTGTAATGTTCCCTATGACAGGGAGATCAATAATGAGAGCCAAATCCAGTTGATAATCAATATCCCAATCTGCACCAATGTCCCTTATTAGACTCACCAACACACTATGTGGCACCTTTATTTCCACATCTAGCATGGTACTGTCATCCCCCTTCAACGATCCCGGGTCCGGAATATTGCCCGAAGCAATCACCCTATTCATATCGATTATCCAACAAGATTAGTAACCATCTGTTTGGTATACAATATTAAACAAGACTTGAAAACATTCACATAACATGACCAACAATCGCTGAAAAGCCAACTTATTCTGGTTTTCTTGGGTAGTACACGCTCTCTGTACTACACGAAAAGGCAAGAAACTTGTGCAAACTACCCAAAAAAGTCCGAAAAATTCGACTTTTAAGCAAGGTCAAATATGCGATTCTATATCCCAATGGGTTTCTTCTCGAAATCAAAAGATTTCTATGTCTATACCAATAGCCCAAGACATGCCGCGACAATAGCCCTTGTTTATTCTAATAAATTTAAAATCGACTACGTGAATCTCTTTTCGATTATTTGATCTATCCCTATGTTCTATTAAAACATTCTACAAAATCAAATCATTTTAGACAAGTCCCTGTTTGGTATGGCATAAAATTTTAATAAAAATCAAAATCAATAATTAACTTAAACGGCACAAGACCACACTTTTTAACTTTCCAACCATACATTCTATCAAATTTTATCAAAATCTACTAGAAACCTAATTTTTAATTGTACCAAACACAGGTCAAGATCATCAAATAGTTTTCTTTATTCTTAAAAACGTAGCTATGTATCTATTAAATTTTGCGTCGAAAACAAGCACAGACAAGTACGTGCTTAATGATCTGATCACATACGATACATATAAGTGTGCGTATACATAAAAGAAAAACAGATGAAATTTATGAACAGATTAAGGATCAAAAGGAAATGAATCGAAACCTGTCGACACTCTTGAGAGAGTATTTAATTTCTCCGATCGGAATAGGAACAATGTATGGATTGCTAACAGAAACCTTAGCCAAATAGGTTATGCCGCTCATGCCGACATCCTTAAGATCCACATCCGTTATGGTTGCTTCGGGTTTTTCCATGTTAGCAACCTTCTCAGCTACGAAATTCTTCGCTTTATCCACCAAATCCATTTCTGTTTCAGAGAGAAAATATGGTTTCGAATTCAATTACCTTGTTTTCGTTCAGAGACGACGATGAATTTGAGGGTGTATATATTCGGGTCGGGTATGGCGATGAATTTTCCGCGTTAAGAGATCTCAGATTGTCAACGAAGAGAATTACGGGTGCAAATCTTGTAATAAAAGCGGGTAGATCTGTTATATTTGAATTTACTTTTTCCTTTTACATAAATTTCTTTTTGTATTTTATTTGAAATTGACCACGGAATTATCAATGTTTTACAAATCAATCCAACATTGACCAGAAAAAGATGGGTCAACTTACGAAAATACCCCTAAAACCTAAAATTAAGGATGTTTCGAAAAATCATATTACAAGCACTTTTGAAGTAAAAAATATTGTGTAAATTAAAAAAAAAAAAGTGATAGAAAAAGTGTCAAACAATTAAAAACGCAACATAAATTCAAAAACGCTCAAAAAAGTAACGAACTCAAAAAAGTGACACAACTATCATCCCTCCTCTTTCTCCGCTAACCTTCAAGGATTTTTAGTCAGTTCAACGATAAAATAGCAATCAAGATGGCAAGCATTTTTAAATCAATTCACCGTCACTGTAATCTACCAATTCAGTTAGCCCATTAATCATATAAAAAACTTTTTGGAAGTAAAAAAATATTGTATAATTTTAAGTGTCATTTTTTTATTAAAAAATGACATATGATGTCACTTGTACTAAAAAGATACGTCTTTAACTCAAAAAGTGATAGAAACTTTAAAAATA